CTATCCAATGAGCTATTAATATATTCATATAGACTAATAATGTCCCCTTTGAAAAAACGAATGTTTGGTTAATTCCTAATTTGAAAACTATCACTTCTAGAGAAAAACTGACTCCGCTACTGGAATCTACGTAGAAAGATTTATAAGAACCCGTTGTCACCTTTTCGATTACTTATGAGAGAACCGACATTAAGGGTTGTTCCAAAATGCAACATTTGCAAAAACACCTTGTATACTGTATACTTAAAACTGATTTAGTTAAAAACTTCCGACAATTTCTTAAAACTTCTGTATTTGACACTTTTGTCAAAAACGTCAAATGAAAAAGTTAGAACGGCGTGACATTTTATCATAGATCAAGATCACCCTGTACCTCTGTATAAAACTATTTAACAACCTTGTTACAGTTAGGACAGGAATTACAATTTTAGTAGGTACCTATGTTATCTAAATAGATACCCTTGGCCGAGAGAGGAAGTTTAGTTTGAATGTAGGTGGATCTAGAAACTACTTAACCGTTAGCTAAAATTGCGTTTTCAATAGAATTAAACTATATATTTTAGATTTGTAAAACATTTCTACAATCCTCTAAACTTCAAATTATTATTAATAACGATGTAATTTGAATGTCTTCTCTAAAAACGAATTTACTTATTTTGCAAAAAACTTAGATTTAAAAATCCTGACAGAGACTTGTTCTGGCTGCTTACATTGTGGTTTAAAAGTTCTCCTTAAACATAATTTACATGACAGAGCCACTTATATATCGTGTATAAGTGCCTGTTGACTCTGTCCTGTACGCAAGTTGCTTGTGAGCCGGCGGCGCGGCGGGTATTTTCAAAATTAAAATTAGTGTTACAGATTTTGCCTGAAGGTTTGAACTATGATTATTTTATGATTGATATATTATAATTGATAAAATTGCCAATTCTACGCCATTATATTGAAAAAAAAAAAACTCCTTTTCATCTAAAGTTAATGTTCCCCAAGTGTTTATTTTATTTTTTTGTACTTTGCTATTCAGTATTCAGGAATCCAGTGAGTAATTTTATTTGTTAGAATCAAGAAACTAATGTATGATTTGTAATGTTCGACATGCGAATAGTAGTCTGATCAAATGCTGTTCAAAAGTGTCTGTTTCGTAACATGAATGCGGTAGGAGGTTTTTCAACGGAATTATATGTTTTTTAGGATGCTGAATACGAATCTGAAGTTTGCTGCCTTGTAGCAGTACCGGCTCAGGTCGAAAAATGCGAAAAACCTCGACATTTTCGGACTTTTTCCGGTTTTCTGGTAATATCTTGGAAACGACGCATCGTACGAAACATGTCACGGTATTCAAAGTTGAAAAGCATAAAATTCTGCGTCGAATAGCCTCCCTAACCTTGTTACTGTTGAATTTATAAGCTCGCCATCGTCAGTCGAAGAAAGCCAATTTTAATGAACTTTGGGGAAAAATGCAATAAACTTACGACGGAGAGTGAAATAAAATGGACATTGCTATCAGGTATTCTCCATAGACCGTATTTCTACACTATAGTACAACTTACTAGCTCTTTCTCTTCAGCTGACTATATGGTCTTCCCATGATTTTTCCTACAATATAGGTACATATTATGTATATTGTATACCGGGTGTCCCACCGAAAACTGTCAATGGCCTATATCCTGAAAGCGGTAATCGATTAAAAAAGAAATGAAAAACCCGTTTGAAGGGTTGGAAGGGGGAACCAAAACAAGGTACTTTTCAGGTCTCCCTGAATCACCCTTCCGGCCGTAGCTACCCTAACCTCAAAATTTTAAATTGCACTACGGGTCATGTGTTACCTTGTTTTAAAGGTCTTTCAATTCTCTTAATGGATCTGCAAAAAAAAATTATCCAGATTTGAATGTGACTCTCATTTTGATGAAAACCTCATTTGGTCGGGTGAAACAGGTAAATGTGATTTGAAATCGATTTTATACAAATTGAATAACAGCATGAATATTTTTGAAGAAATCATCAAGATTTAATTTTTTTGAACCCCTTTCCTCTCACTGTACCTGACAGTGTTCACCTCCTCAAGAGAGCAAAGTTGTTATCTCGAAGCATGCTCCATTTTGTGACAATTTAAATTTGTATCTATAGTCGGGCCACCGAACAGAGATAGTAATAAAACGATTACCTGGTAACTGGCCCCCATAAATAATCTCGACACCCTCTTAAAATCAGACATTTTCATAGTGGAGCGCATTTGAAACTGATGTTGTTTGTCTTTCATTTATTTATTTTAACTCAAAATAATTTAGTAATTGGAATGTGAATGTCAAATGAGACCCTTTATGCATATTGCCTCATAAAATATGAATTCATGAATTTAATAAATTTAATTTATTATAAGAAGGTATAAATTGGGTATACATCCTCTCATCTATTGCCTGTCAAGCCCCTCAGAGGCTGAATGCTCGGTTTTATTACTATCTCTGTTCGGTGGCCCAACTATAGATAATTTTTTTTTTTGCAGATTCGTTTAGAGAATTAAAAAACCTTTCAAACAAGGTAGCACATGACCCATTGTGCCATTTAGGATTTTGAGGTTAGGGTAGCTACGGCCGGAGGGGTGATTCAGGGAGACGTGAAAAGTCCTTTGTTTTGGTTCCATCTTCCAACCCTCCAAAGGGGTTTTCCATTTTTTTTTTATCGATTACCGTTTTCAAGATATAGGCCATTGACAGTTTCCGGTGGGACACCCGGTATATTCTCTCATCTTGGTAATCTAAATGTAATAAATGAGAGGTCTATGAAATGAGTAAATATTTTTGTGTGTAAATGGGTACCTACTGATTGTTGGAGCTGCGAGCTCTCAGGACCGCATATTTTTCTCTGGTGGAGTCACACATTACTTATGGAATTGCATTTTGCGGCTGTTGCAGTACCACTACAAATTGCAACTCCATATTTATTTTACAAAAAAGAGCCCTTAGGTTTACGCTTAGAGTTCCCTTCCGACAATCTTGCAAACCTAGCTTTATTTCTCATAGAATTTTAACTGTGCCGGCCAGCGTATTGGCATTGTCAATAACAACGTAAATAAAAATACTTGTAATGTCAAATCTCACTAACTTTTTTTTAATTAAAATGAAATAATAGATCGAGGAAACAACACTTGAGTTTGATTTTTATAGTAGAAATTGCCCCTAATAATGGAGTAAGTTTTCGCGACAAAATCTACTGCATTCAGACGCTTCAATATTCTGCACCTGGCGTCCTAACGCAGGAGGGATGATGACGAACCTATTCTTGGCAAATCGTGGGACATTTTCTCCCTTGATTCGGCATATATTTTTCTAGGGTTGCGTCGTACCATAGGAGACAGTGCCAATACGCTGCCGGCCATGCTCAAATATTCTCGAAAGTGTTTGCCTGGTCTATAGGAAATACTATATGATCAACTTTCTTCAGCAAGGCACTATTCAACTAGGCAAGCTAATAATATTCCACTGCCAATTCACAGAAGCACCTGGGTGAAGAAGTCTTTTGTTTATTTTTCCAAGAAATTGTTCAATTTCCTACTATCTAGCGTTAGGTCTTCACGTTCATACGAGAGGTTTAGAAAGGGAATAAGGGACTAAAGCCTACTATAATATTGAGGAATTCAACATTTGTGAACATATTATTTTTAACTTAGGTAAAATTTTAAATTGTCCTGATAGATATTAAATTTCATTATTTTATTATTTAAGTTGATATGCTTTGTCAATGAAAAGTTTTTTCTGGACAATAAAGTACTTTTTAATTCGATTGATTTGATTTGATTATCAACATACATAATACTTAAAAATCCTCAAGTCAAACTTACAAAAAATGGAGGAAGAAGTAATTTAGGGTTGACAAGTGGGGTTTGAGAAATAGGGGGTTATATTGACAGGCACAGATTTTTGATTATTGGACCCCTTCATTTTGTCAAATAAGCGTTTAGAGGATAAATTAAGACTTCTTTATTCAATACTAATCATTTGATCAGTATATGCGTATATTGATCCAAATTTAAAATTTTGATGCTCAATGAACTCAATATTTGGTTAAGTACCTACATCTTCAAATATTTTTTTACTTAGAGTGGTTGTTTTCAAATCACTGTCGTCTAAAAGTAAGTTTATTGCAGTTTTCACAAAAGTTCATTAAAAGTGGCTTTTTCCGACTGACGATCGCCGGCTTATAAATTCAACAGTAACAAAGTTAGGTAGGTCATTCGACATAGAATTTTATGCTCTTCAACTTTGAATACCATAACATTTTCCGAACGATGCGTTGTTTGCAAGATATGACCAGAAAACCGGAAAAAGTCCGAAAATTCCGAGGTTTTTCGCGATTTTCGGCCTGAGCCGGTTCTGCTACGAGGCAGCAAATTTCAGATTCGTATTCAGCACCCCAAGAAACATATATACCGTTGAAAAATCTTCTACCGCATTCATGTTACCAAAAAATTACCATAAGAACGATTTCCCCTGTACCACCTCCAGCATAAAGCGCTGGAAATGCTGGAGTTGGAACAGGGGAAATAGTTTTCGTTCTCTATTTAACGTTAGACTTTCTCTAGACATTTCATTCTATTGCATTGAAATTGGCCTGTAAGATGTTGACTTGCCAGGCGTGTATACATGTATTGTAATAAAGACTTGTTAGCAAAATATATATTTTTTTTTTTGCCTCAACCAAAATAATGGTACTAACTATATATTATATACCTAATATAATTCACATAAGCAGTAAAAATTGGGATTTTGGCTTCATGACTTTGATATTGGACTTGATGACTTTGAGAAGGGACACTTCTGTATTTATAGACCCCATGATGAAGTTCTCGGCCTGGTAGGCCTGTCTCCAGTCCGACGCTGCAAAATTCTACACTCTTGGACTCCTACTCGTATAGAATTTTGCCTATTCCACACTTGTTATAGAATATACCATTTTTTTGTTTTCTATAACGTGCTGCTAAAACTGTATTTTTTCTTCTATAGTTTCTCGGACCTCCTGGACTTGGACACAACTTTGGGTAATGGAATCCTAACTACACCAGAAGAGTCAATAAAACAGTGGAATAAGGCAGCTCTTAATGCGCAGTCTGAAATTGCAAAGGAAAATAATAATTACATTACTAAAACTAAAGTCAACTGTAGAATTTATAATCTACCACCTTGGCCTCATGTTTCCAGATACATATTTCCAGGAAATGAAGATGCTAATAAGTTTTTGCAATTGAATGGTGAGCTTAACATTCAATTAACAAATAGTATATTAAATTATTGAAATATACCTATACCTAGACCAGCGAAAAAACTGTTATTTTCCCGTCTAAGCATGCGAACTTAGCTATTGCATGGGTACTTTGATTTCTGACCGTACTCTTCTCTATCACACACATGCACATGTTACAACTGTATGTAATGCAATAGTAAAATAACAATAAATTAATATAATAACCTTACTCCTTTACTCTTGGTAGTTTTTTCTAATTCTCTGTCACAAAAGACTAAAATGGTTTCGGAATCGAAATGCGCTAATTTTTATTATCAAATATGCCTATTGCTTTGGCACTATATGCATGTATGTACCTATACAGGATGTCCCGGATAAGGATGCACTCTACAGGGATCTCCGTAACCATACGAGATACAGAGTTGGTGAAATTTGGAAGAAGTTGCGCATTACTGAGCTCAGTGGCGTCATGTTTTGATATTTCGGAAACTCCGAATGATTGCAAAGATATCCATAAAAACCCGAATCTAGCCGAAATCGTTTTTATTTTTTTCAGACTTTATTTGAAATGATATCGCAAAATAAACTCCACATTCTCATTGCCACTTTTTCTCTACTTCATGATAATGTTATTAGATTTTTGATAAGACGTTTGAATTCTTCGCGATCACCATCAACTTTGTTTTTTCTAATAAAAAAAAATCGACCATTTGAAAAAACAAAGTTGATGATGATCGCGAAGAAACGGAACGTCTGATCAAAAATCTAATAACATTTCATGTAGTGAAGAAAAAGTAGCAATCCGAGAATGTGAAGTTTATTCTGCTATATCATTTCAAATAAAGTCAGAAAAAAATTCAAACGATTTTGGCAAAATTCAGTTTTTTATGAATATCTTCAGAATCATACAGAATATACGAAATATCAAAACATGACGCCACTAAGCTCAGTAATGCGTAAGTTTTCCCAAATTTAACCAACACTGTATCTCTTATGGTTACGGAGATCCCTGTAGAGTGCATCCTTATCTGGGACACCCTATATAAAAGGAAAATAAAACATTTAACAATAAGATTTCCAGAATCTGCCTTACTGAAATACACCTCCAATATTTTTGCACAGACAAAAAATCAAATCATATAAAACTTAGGTGGCAACATTTTTTTAGGTGTTGTTGTAAGAATGGCAGCCAGAAAATTACTAGTTTTCCAGAGGAATTATGTGTGTTCGAAATGCAAATACCAAATAATAGTAGAGGCACAATGTGATAAACGGTATATTATCAAAAAGCCCAAAGAATGTACAAATCCAGAGGGTTGTAAAGGTAAGAAAGTGGATCTGTTGGAATAGTAATGTGAAAGTATATTCCATTTATTAGGCAAAAATTTTATTGATTTTGAAGAATTGGACAGAGATAATTACAAAGATTTTCAAGAAATCAGGATTCAAGAAGATCTATCTAAAGTGGATGCAGGAACAGCGCCTGGTCATATGTTGGTTGTCCTAGAAGATGACTTGGTGAATAGTTGTAAGCCTGGAGAAAATGTCACAATAACGTAAGCAAATTTTATATTTTGTGCCTATTTTACTCCACATTTCCCAATAAATATTTATTATGGATGAGGATTTTTTCTTATCCATATGTTTATGTTATTTATTTTTGGATGATTTTTTTCTTGAAATTTTTCAAAAAGATAGGAATAACTTTTAACTTCTGGATCAGCAGTAGTCGTAATATACCAATCTTCCACTTCCTGAATTCTCTTTCTTCGCTTGCCGGATTTCTACATTTTGTTGATGTATCCTCGGCTTCCTCAATGTTGAACAATGGTTCGAGGTCGAGGTCACTCTCTTCCAGTCGATCACTTCCCAGCTGTTCAGGACTTCTAACAGGAACTCTTTCTCGCTGATTAATTCTGAGGCAGTTCTTGTCTTGATCTGACATGAGGTCTGCTCTCACAAGGGTCTCTGACAGTTTGCAAAATGTTATAAAGCATTGCCCATACATGTTTTCAATGCCGTCGTTTCATGATAAATTGGTAACTTAGCTGAGCGATTGTTCCTGAGAGTTTGCAAACTGTCAGAGACTCTTCTGAGAACAGACCTTAAAGCAGTGTTTGTGGGGAAAATCCTACCGTTGAAGGTTCACAATCGAAGGTGGACAGTCATCAGAAGGCGAGCGATATTTCGGTTGTCTTCTACAGTAACGCCTTCTTTCGGAGCGGTAACATTCGGAGCCAGTGTTCAAGTTACTTATCGAAGACTGAAAGTCATCAGAACAAAAGCGAGATCTCAACCGTAAATTACAATCACGCCTAAAATATCCTCTTCTCATACCATTTAATGCTCCCTTTTAAGTTACCCAATTTGATTCTGATAACAGCCTCCCGTAACCCTTCCGAAACCTCTTCATTATGGTGCCGTTAATTTCTCTCATTGGCTCTTTTGCTTCACGAATCGACATAGCTCTCATCTTTGCTTCGGAAATCCTATAGGCCGCATCGATTCCTAGGGTCTTGATTAGAGCTTTGTTGCTACTTGATGGTTTGGTTATAAGCAGCATTCTCTGTACAGGGTGGCCCATTTTCGATGTTTTAGTAGGATGTATATCGAAAACCAGCAGAGATATCAAAAATCTGGGAGCACATTCTCGAGCTCTTTTTTCGAGAAAATAACAATGGCGACGACAAATCACGGCTAACTTGATGCGTTTAGGAAATACAGGGCACTTTTCAAATTTTGTCCAATTTTAAAAGACTCTCTAATTTCCTTATTATTCAAGATATCCAAAAACGAAAAATACTTTCTATGGGCAGTTTTTCAAGGAGAATCCAGTGGCATGACCAATTTTTCTCCAGATGCCTCCGATTTTGGAGTATTGACCAAAGTTGTGTTTTTTTAAATGGGACACATTATTTTTTATTTGAATAGCTCTTTGTGAGCTGATTTTGATGATATGAGGTTTTATACCTTTACCTTCAATAGTTTTGGAGAAAAAAAATAAATTCCGTTTTTTCCATAAGAAACAATGAGTTAGAAAGATATAGTTTGAACTATGAAGCGGCTACAAATTTCTTAATTCTTAATTTAATTTTTCAGTTCAGCTAATTTTTTTTAATTTGAACTATAAATCGAGGGTGATAAATAGGCAACACATAATTTATTTAATGACTTATCTCTTTCTAGCTCATTGTTTCTTATGAAAAAACGGAATTAATTTTTTTTTCTCCAAAACTATAGAAGGTAAAGGTATAAAACCTTATATCATTGAAATCAGCTCACAAAGAGCTATTCAATGAAAAAATAATATACGGGGTGTTCCATTTAAAAAAACACAACTGTGGTTAATATTCCAAAATCGGAGGCATCTGGAGAAAAATTGGCTATTCCACTGGATTCTCCTTAAAAAACTGCCTATAGAAAGTATTTTTCGTTTTTGGATACCTTGAATAATAAGGAAATTAGAGAGTCTTTCAAAATTGGACAAAATTTGAAAAGTGCCCTGTATTTCCTAATTGCATCAAGTTAGCCGTGATTTGTCTTCGCCATTGTTATTTTCTCAAAAAAAGAGCTCGAGAATGTGCTCCCAGATTTTTGATATCTCTGCTAGTTTTCGATATAGCCTATTAAAACATCGAAAATGGGCCATGTACATCCATATATGTAAAATTTTTGGTCACTAGTTGTTCTCGCATTTCTGCTGCTGCTTCTGGATAGGCCAAATTAACCAGACGGCGGATGTCGGTTTCAAATTTTTGTGAGCATTCTGCAGCGTTTTGTTGCCTCGTTTTTAGTTGGCCTCGGTGTTGATCTGCATAACGACGCGACGCTCTAACGCATCAACAAGCGCACCGCATAGTTTCGTTGGGAAGGTGGCGGAAAAGTCTCTGATAGGTCTAAGGCAGGAACACGCAATGCTACAATTAAGCCTCTGGCTCTATGTCATGTCATCGGAGCTCAAACCATCAGCCATTTCAACAGTCTCTAATTGACGTCTGTACATCGCCCAGGATGTGTGCCCGTCGTATGGTGGTTTAACTTGGGCGCAGGTGAGGCTGAGTTATTTCTTGATCTCGAGTCCCATTCCAACTTTTCAATTTTCTTTTGAATACTATCCATTTTCCATATCATCCCCAACTTCTTGACGAACCATTCCAACTTGATTTTTTGAGTTTTCATCTGGCTAACTGATAAGAATTATCTAACCCTGCTTCCACCTGTCCAAAAACTGGTCTATAGTGAGAATTGAGTTCAGGATAGTTGTGACGCTTATCAAGATTTTGTCAGTGCTGTTTTTGACTGCTTTACTTGGCACTGTATCCAGAGCTGGCTCACTTTGTCGGATGATACCAGGATTTCGTTCTGATGGTGAACTAATTATGATGATATAACATTAATATCAGCGAAAGAAAAAACCGTATGTGCAGCCCTGTTTAATGTGTGGTTTGATGTTTCAGCTATTAAATTTGCCATCGTCACCAAAGAGCATGCAAAAATTAGAAAAAAAAAATCACTCTGATATTCTCTGAATAGCCTGATTTGAGAAAAATATCGAAAAACTCAGTGGCATAATTTAAATTTTTAGCGGAATTCTAACTAGAAGATGGTCAGAATTTGATAAGGGAGCTAAAATCACCGTGGATGTAATTCTAAAAGCACTTCATGTTCAAGTTAATACTTGCAGTGGATTGATTATGGCAGAGACAGCTGAAATGAAGCAATATTTTGAGGATTTCTGGAAGAAATATGAAAATGAACCATTAGTGGGCAGAAGTATTATTTTAAATTCTATCGCTCCAGAGGTGAGTTTGGTTTGTTATTTTTGTATTTAAAATAAAAAGTACCTACTACATAAATCATGATTCCAATTTAAATAATATGATCTTCCAAAATTTTGTTCCAATTTGCCAAACAAATCGAAATTCCTTCTAATCCAGTGGTATGGTAATGGTCTATACAGGCGTAGTAAACTATCTGGTATAGAATGTATGGAACACTTACATATGCCAACTTAAGCTTTCAGCAATATTGCATTCTAGTACAAGTGGCTCTGCCCTCATTTCAATAATTTTTTTCAATACCAGAAACATTGCAGTAATTATGCACTCTAAACAGTTCGGCAATAGACTACTAAAACTTGATTAAACCATAGAATGCTAATAATGCTATTCAAAATGGTTGGAATATTTAGCCTCACACTTCTCAAAGTGTGCTGTGAACAATTTTGGGCAAAGTGGCTAAAAAAGCTTATACTATTTATAAATGAGTGATGACTTGAAATTCATATGCATTTAAATTTAGGACAATACTTTTTAAGAATATTTCAAAATTTTCTTTGTACTCTTTTTGGCAGGGTTGGATGGGCTCAGACAAACCGGCCCTGGCAATTTTTTTCATCCAGCCCTCCCTTGGACAGCAAGAATAAAAAATGGGTTTCAAACATTTTACTGTAAAGAAAACGAAAGAATATTTTAGAATTTTCATTTTCGATATTATTACATATAGATAGGTCACGATCCCATTGTGACAAACAAATAGAACTTGACGTTTTCTCTTTCCTTAATTAGGCATTCCAAAGACCGTCAAAAAGTGCATTGTGGCGAAAGTTCATTATCCCGTATATGAAAGTATGGAAATTAAAGCTTTTTAAAGTGCATTTTGTGGTTGTTTTGTTTTGTGAATGAACTCTGTTAATTTTTTTATTTTATTGATTTATTTTATTGACATTAGTGTTTCTTCTAACTAAAAATGCCACAAACGTGTCTTGTAGTTGATTGTGGAAGTAGTTTCAACAAAGTAACAAGGATGATGTCACGCTTTTTTCATTGCTCTCTAGTTTCAAAAGTTTCCAGTTAAAACGTGAAAATTTTTCACTACCACTGTTCCTGCATCTAAAATGAAGCCAGACTCAAAATACTTGTGAGAATCTAAGCTTTTGTAGGCCTTCATTTGCTCATTAATATGAAATTTGTGAAAACTGTGGGTAAAAATGTCAAGTGGACATTTTTTCAAACTAATCGTTCGCCCACATCCCGATTTTCCTGCATTTAAGTCTTTAAATATTCACTCTGCATCTCAAAAAGTATATAATAACAAAGTAAACTGTAATTAGCTTGAAAAAATTCCAAATAAACTCAAGATAAACAAACGTCAAATTTTCCACGCTCGCCATATTGAAAAATCACGTGGTTTGGAGAGCCTAATTGCTCCTTGCATTACATTCCATTATCTTTTGTCTGTCAAATGGTCTGTCAAGTGCCTACCCTGGCTAGGATGTTTGAGAGAGGTAGGTTGCCTGATAACTGTATGACGTCATCTGGGGTGCCTCATCCTGGCAGGAAAAATGAGGTCCAAAAGTAGGTAACCACTTTTCCAGGAACCAGAGTAATTAGTAATTAGATTACTTTCGGATCGCTTTTCTGTCGTTGCCACATCTTTATTTTTGGTTGAGGAGTGATGATTATTCACCCTCAGATTTGACTGGATTTGACCCATTTCCCAAAATCATAAATACTTGCTTCTTGATGTTACTAAATAGGTACCAAGGTCGTGTGTATAAATCGTGTAATTGTGAGACGGAATCGTGTAAAACTGTGTAATTTGACCAGCATATCGTGTAATTTCACAAATTCAGATTGGCAATACTGCATTCTCAACTAAACCGTCACCAGTGGTTTCGGATCTCACGCCTAATATTCAGTTTAAGGCTATGACCTACACCACCGATTTCGACATAATTTTGGGATCTGTGTGTACATTTAAAATGACCTTTCATGTCATCGAGAGGAGAAGCTAGAACCAGCGAACCTCGATATCATATGGCTAAAATTCACCTCAAAGTCATCGACCAAGTTTATCTGCTGCCTCTACCGACCGCCAAGTGACACCGATTACCAAAACTTTTTCGCGACATTATCCGAAAGCTGTGATAGTATACAGTCAAACTATCCACAGGCGGAAATTGTCTTTTTAGGCGATTTCAACGTCCACAATATACCCTGGCTGAAACACCACAACAAAACAGATAACGAAGGCAGAGAAGCAGAAGCTTTTGCCATAAGTTGTGGTCTAACGCAGCTTGTCGATGAACCTACCCGTATCTCAGAAAGGGGCGAATTTGCAGCGCTTTTAGACTTGTTCCTAACCACCAATCCTGACTCGTACACAATTCAAGTAGATGCTCCACTTGGTTCGTCCGATCATAAACTTATAATAACAAAGTGCGAAATGCTCATCCCACCAAGCCTACAACCACTTCCTCGTAAAATGTGGCACTATAAATCGGCAAAATGGAATGACCTAAAACAGTATTACCTGGATTTTCCATGGCAAGAGGTTTGCTTTAAAACAGCTGATCCCACTATTTGCTGTAATGAAATAACACAAGTAATCTTATCTGGAATGGACGCATATAACCCACATACAACTAAACGTAGAGCTAATGCAAAACCTTGGTTCAACAGCCAGTGTCAAACGACTGTACAGAAAAAACACAGAGCATATAACCTTTGGAAACGACAACAAACCGCTCAAAACCACACAGAATTTATAGAAGCCAGAAATAGTTGCAAAATTACTATTGACTCCGCTAAAGAAACATACAATCAAAGAATAAAAAACAGGTTGCTGAATTGTTCAAGGAGTTCTAGGTCTTTTTGGTCTCTTGCAAAAGCTGTTGGATCTAACTTCACCAAGTCATCCATACCACCACTTACAGATAAAAATAATCACTTAGCCACAACATCAGAGGAAAAAGCCAATATGCTTGCCCAAATGTTTTCCTCCAACTCCAACCTAACAGTGCCAAACGGAAAAACTCCACCGTTCATTGAAAGGGTTTCCCATAGTATGCCAGAGGTACCCTTTTGTCACAGAGAAATACGAAAATCCCTAAAAAAGCTGGATACAAACAAAGCAATGGGTCCGGATGGCATTCCCGCAATAGTACTCAACGAACTCACCCCAACTTTCGCAAAATTATTCAATTTGTCTTACAGGCAAGGAGTATATCCATCATCATGGAAGTCTGCCGCAGTACAACCCATTCCAAAGAAAGGAAAAAAGACAGATCCGTTAAACTATAGACCAATTGCTCTACTTCCGGTGACATCAAAAGTAATGGAAAGAGTTGTGAACAATCACCTAACCAAGTACTTGGAAAAGTACAAAATTTTCAACGATAAGCAATACGGATTTCGAAAATATAGGTCAACTGGCGATTTACTTACATACGTCACTCACTTATGGCAAAAAACGATTGAGTTGCGGGGTGAAACAAGAACAATTGCCTTAGATATATCTAAAGCATTCGACAAAGTTTGGCATGAAAATCTGCTCAACAAGCTCAAAGCAATGGGATTATCGCCGAAACTTTGCACTTGGTTTGAAAGTTACCTAAAGGACAGATCCATTTATGTTGCACTGGATGGCCAGAACTCCAACTCTTACCAAATAAATGCTGGTGTGCCACAGGGAGCAATCCTTTCGCCAACTCTTTTCCTGATTTACATAAATGACCTCATAGATAAAACAGTAAATCCACTTTATTGCTTTGCAGACGATGGCAATGTAGTCTCCTCACTCATACCACCCACAGGTCTTTCCGCACGTGAATTCCATCATCTTAGACTAACTCAAATATCGCAGATAAATAACGACCTGGAGATAATAGAGGACTGGGGTAACAAAAACCTTGTACAGTTCAACGCGCAGAAAACCCAAGCAGCTCTGTTTTCAAAAAAGACCAGCACCGGTGAGCCAAACATCATGCTATCTGGAAGTGCTGTCACATTGCAGAGTCAGTTGAACATCTTGGGGGTTACTGCAGAGACCAACATGTCTTGGCACAGTCACGTGGCAGATATTGCTAAAAGGGCGTCCCAAAAGCTGGGGGTGCTATTTCGTACAAGACATCTGTACACACCAAGCCAATTGCTGTCACTCTACAAAGCCCAGATTCGACCAACTATGGAGTACTGCTCACATATATGGAGTGCAGCACCCAAACATACCTTAATGCTTTTGAATACCGTGCAAAAACGAGCTATCAAGCTGATCAATGACCCCGCACTTACTCGTAACTTGGATGGTCTCGAACATCACAGATCTGTGGGCGATTTATCTCTCTTCTACAGGTACTATCACGGAAAATGCTTTGAAGAGTTGGCACGTATGATTCCACCGAGAGTAGCACCTACTAGGCGAACCCGTCAAACAGACGGTAACCATGAATTTACTGTCAAACTAGAGGCACCAAGAACCTCATTATATCAGAATTCATATCTCTGGAGAACAGCATCGCTGTGGAATAAACTCCCTGCGACGGTTTTCCCTGCAGGTTACAACCTGAACCGTTTCAAGACCAACATACACCGACATTTCCGCGCACTTGCCGCTTCTCGAGCGTGATAGGACATTTCCTTGCGAGTGCGCATATCCGTAAAAAAAAAAAAAAAAAAAATATAACCAAATGTTAACCAAAGTAACCGATCCGGTTGACAGATGGTTACTGAAAATTCCGGTTACCGGGAACGCGAATATGAAATAAAAAATTGTTGACAAATTTTACAGATAAAACCAACATCCGATAGTCGGTAACTATTTTGACATTTGGTTAACCAGATTTCAAGAAACCAAGGTCCAAAAGTAACCAATTTTCCAGGTACCAGAGAAATTTGATCGCTTTCGGACCGCGAAACCACAAGCCTGGTTATATTCGGACCACAGCCTTAATATTGTTTTAGATAGTTTCCATGATGTTGTTGTCAAATATGTAAATTTTAAAATTTTATTATTAATTTAA